CAGTGACAGCAATAATTTTATTCCTCTGATAACATTTATGTGCCTATTGAAAAATCAGCCCTAAATATTAGTAAGTAGTTCTTATTAAAATATCAATAAAATAACTTTTGTAGATAAGCGAGCAGACGGGTCACGATGGTAAGTAATCAGCGCCACCCATGGACACCTGCAACACCAGAGGAGCCATAGAAGCAGGTCTTTTAAAGTAAGCGTACGCTCGTTTCTTTTATGTCAAATCTCTGCAATGTCTGATCGTAAATTTTTCTACGAACTTAAATTCTATCAATAAAAACGCTACAATATCAAATCAAATATTTTCCTCCATATAAACTTAAATACACTAAAATCTTCGTCCATTTCCCAGGAAGAAAGTAATGTCACATCATAACCTCAATCTCCGTCATTTATTACGACCACAAAGACAGACTTCCACTTAACATAACATATTTATAAAGATCAGGTTTCATAATAACAACCAATCATTCAAAGAAACAATACTATTACAGAATAAATGACAGTAATCGTTTATGGTCGTTAATCCTCCGAAAATCGTCACTTCCTGTTTGGTGCAGAGACAATTTCCGGCGGCCATATTGAGAAATCCGGCCCATTACTTGCTAACGCTACTTTATCTGTGGTTATAAGAAAGGAGGACGCTTATTATGATTGTTTATGGTGTTATTATATTGTAGACACGTAGGTCACGATGGGGTTTAGATCGTATGTTGTATGCAAAAAATATTGGTGTGGTATTTTTAAAGTTATTTCTTTGTTTTATGATGGTGTTTTTGTAGTCTAGTATGAGAAAGCCGTGCTTCGGCTCAACTGGAATGATGTTTATAATTCCGGTCGGCCCCATAGAATTATATCTTGTTGAAACAACACTCAAGTCGTGTTTCCCCATGGGTCTTTATCTTAAATAGTAACGATGGAGTTTCTTGCTCGTTCTTCTCCATTCGAATCTACAATTTGGAACGAGCACCTAGCTTCGTCGAAGAACAGTTTGACAAACTACAATCCTATTTTGACGTTTCAAAAGTCGGAGTAAATGATTTTGAGTGAGGTTATCGGAGGCCCAATCCCACCCCCTCATATCCTCAATCACCAAACCCCCTGGTGTTAAATCCCTAACTACCTAGAAGAGGCCGGCAACGCACTTATAAGTGCTTGGTAATTCGGCTGTTTACATCAGGTGATCCGTCTGCTCATTTGCCGATCGAGCCGAGCTTATATTACCTAAACTGTTTGATTTTGATAATTTCTTAGTCTTTTTCTCGAGAAAATGGTTAATAGTGGTTTGGTTGGATTGTTGTGTGTGTTGACGGTGTCGGGTATTCCGTGGTGTAAATAAAAGTTCGACTCACGTATCACCAGGTTTATTTGGCCGATCCGGCACACACGAGTTACAGAAGGCACAGTAGGACAGTTCAAGCACATACACAAGCACAGCACAGAGATAGTGGTAGAAATAGTCAATACTAATAATAAGAAAGAAGTAGAAAACAGAAATTGCGTAATTATCACAGCGTTAGGATAGCGGAAGAATTACAATAAATGCGCGTCTTAGCAATGTCTCGGCAAGACTGGTTCCACAGGTGTGTGCGGGCGCATCGGCAAGCGATCATCAATAGTTAGGGATAGTTATAACTATATTGGTGATTAGTGGTGAGGGTCCAGTCGACAGTTTTTGTATTATCGACTATCGAAAGAAATTTTTGTCGACCAACTGGTAAGGAAGTATTATGTATTAGGTATTATACATAAGTATTGTGAACAAAATGTAAATATGTATACAAATGTGTGTAGGTATATGTATATAGTATATATTATTAACTGTAATTTTGTTAGTTTGTAAGTTTAGTTTTAAGATGTAAATAAATTAAATAATTTGTACAGTTACCTACAGTGGTTTTAAATTTTATTATAATGAAAAAAAAAAACGAAATCCTTTTAAAAACTTAGAAAGTAATTATCCGTCTTCCTAACCGTCTTCAATAACGGGTCTTCGAAAAACGATTCGAATCTTAAAAGATTTTAACCGCTTTTTAAAAAATACCCCCGGAGCGGACATTTGCAGTTTTTTTCCCGTTCGTTGTGTCAGCAAAATTCCTTGAGCACTTCCAATAGAAAACGGTTATGAATTTTGATTAAGAGTAAAACTTGTGGACGGTAAAGTGGGCACTTTTCCTCCTCAAAGAAATTTTTAATGAAGTCTATTATTTAGTAAATTACTCGGGAAGCTTACAGCTTAATGCTGTTTACGAAAATTTTAGCGAGGTTAAGTTGATTCTGTAGTCAGACAATGGACAAGTGGCTTTTTTGATCTCTTTTTATTATTATTTATACCTATAACATAGCTCTTCTAGCAATTAGAGAGACTGATTCCTACTGTAAATACGTCTGCAGCCAAGCACCAATAAAAAAAATACTTGAACGTCGTGTAAAACTTATTTTACAAGGAATCAAAATCTTATACACTTATTTCAGCAACTGATAGGCCAATTCTAATGCTATTATTTCCTTTGCTGGCGTTGAAACCAATCACTTAAACCACCACGATATCAATTTAATACAATCCAGAAAAAACGTCTAGAGAATCCCAGCGTTGCACAGTAAAGCTAGTCGACTAAAAAACTCTAAATAAATCGTTTGCCATTGTACTAACAAATTATCGGGACATTCCTGTGCATAATATCCCTTTTATCGTCTTTCAGTAGCGTCCAGGTTGGAAAATGCTATTTATATTTTAAGCACTAAATAATGAGCAGAGCTACCTCTCTTTTAAAAATAACCTTTTTATATATCGGTAAACGAACAGACGGATTACGTACAACCGCAACACTGAAGGAGTTACGACTGCGCCGGTCTTTTGGGGATTTGGGTTTCGGAGATTTAGGGAATAGGGAGAGATGGGAGTAGGGCAAGGTTTGGGCCTCTGATAACCTCACACACGATGCTATGGTTGTTTTACGCCGGTTTTCTGTGAGGCTGTGGTATGACTCCGGTCGAGACGACCAATTCGTGCTGAAGTGGTCGGTACTATATAGTGAACGTTTTTTTATTCTCTCATATAAGAAAAAAAAACGGATTTGTGATTCGACGTTGGAGGTTGTTACGTTACTGCTTAGTATAAAATGTACTAAAATGGCGATATGTCAAATCAACATACCATGGAAGGTTTATCTAACCCTTAAAAAAAGGAAAAATAATAACCAACTTATCTATAATTTAAAATTATGCATATCGAGTTAAAAGCACCTTGATACTTTGTTATTATTGTAAGCCTAGCATAATTATTAGAACAGATACAAAATATTATTTTAATTGAAATCTTATATTGTTCTTTATACAATACTTCCCAACATTTTCTCTAAGGAAAAAATAAGGAAATATAACAAACAAGCGCCACCTGCTAACACATTTAATGAAAGAAGCAAGAAAGAGACAGCGCACTACATTAAAATAGTGCAGAAAGATATCGTGCTTCCAACTGCGACATATTATGTGGTGCAGACTAAAAGCAAAGTAAGTTTTAATGGAGAAATGAGCAGATGGCAGCACTGTCGAGACCCGCTACACGAGAGAAGTTAGAAGTGTGTTGCAGACTTTATGATGGAGTTAGATTACCAAGATATACACATCGATTTTCATATCACATTACTTATTAGATCATCATCCTATTACAGCCAACTGCTGAACAAAAACCTCTTCTGACACGAAGAAGAATTAAGAATTTATCACTACGCTTACTCAAGGCGGGTTGGTGATTTTATACTCATAATAGAATAGAATGGAATAGAATTTTATTTCCTTTTGAGATACAGTATACCAGTACAAAATTAAATTTTTACCAGCTTAGGAACAATTTTACTTTTTCTGTAAGTTTTTATTTACACTGTTTATTAGGTAGGTACATATAAAAAGTAACTACACATTAATTATCAGTGAATACTAACTTGTGTCAATATATCATCGCAATTATATTATTTACTTAGTATAACACTAACAGAAGGAATACTAAATGTCCATTGACGGAAGAAATATTATGCCAAATTTATGTTTACTTTATTACACTCTAAAAAAATGGCTCTTATGTATGTATAGTTAGATAACTTAAGTGTGTACAATTGGCGGTCTTATCACACAGAATGATTTGTTTCAGACAACACTTGGATGGCAATTTAAAAGTTCATTGCCAATTTAGTAATGCAGGATTAAGTCCAGGACTCTTTTTTGTCCTTCATCGATGTCTTAATAATCTTATAAAAAGCATATAACTAGAAAAAAGTCGCAATGGTTGCCTCAGGTTCCAAAAGTCATGCATAGAACGTGGGCATCTTAATCTCTAGAACAGACAGATCTTTCTCTTGTACAATTACTTAACATATATCTACTAATATTAAAAAACTAACGAGTACTACTACTAGTACTACTAGTACTACTAGTACTACTACTACGAGTACTACTAGTCCGAATTGAAGAATCATTTTGTGTGGTATATCCTACTTATTGAGGAGGACTATTGGCTTAAAATCCATATGACACACAGCCAGCCGAGAGATTTCGAAGGTATGGCAAAGCCACTACCATATTCTGCACTCCGTCATCCTATAAGGATTAGCAAAGCTGAAATGTGTACTGTAACTTGTCCAGAGATTATTGGGAATTCATGCGCAATATCTGTAGGTCTGGAATTGCTAGCTATAGTGAAACTGCAGCTGGTACTGGTAAGACATTGTATTATTTAGTGTAGCAATCATAACATAGCCACAGTCCTAGGATTGAACCAGGAAAGTGATAACCTAGAAGACATGACTAGTATTAATCTATTTATTTATTTACTAAATTCCGTATGTTCATAAAAAGTAGCCTATGTCCTATTTCGGACAGGATACAGTCCGACCATGTCTTGGTGGCCCAGAGGCTAAGGAGCCCGCTTCTCAAGCATGAGGGTGTGGGTCGGAACCTGACAAGTACCAATGTGACGTTTTCTGAGTTATATGTACTTTCTATGATTATTTAGACACCACTGACACACGGTGAAGGTACAACATCGTGAGGAAAACTGGACTTAATAATTACTAATTATAAGTTTGAAATCGCCAACCCGCATTGAGCAAGCGTGGTGATTAATACTCTAACCTTCTCCGTATGAGAAGAGTCCTTTGCTCAGCAGTGGGCACCTAGGCTATAGGCTGGGCTATAGGCTGATGATGATGATGATGACAACCAAGAAATCTTATGATAGTTACGTTTTGTTCTTAGTGTATCATAAATCTTATACTAAGTGTAGACTTAATTATAGGTTGCCACAGCACGCATAATATGTGGCCAGAATACAAGGCAAAATAAAAATTAGAATAACCTAGGAATTAGGAGTGTAAAATATATTTTTATAGAACTGAATATTGTACTAAACATGTTTAATTAAAAATAAAATTAATACTTTAGATGTTATGAAAAATAAATAAATAAATTTTCATCAGCGAGTCAATAAGTCCCGGTAAGTAACGCTTTAGAGTTAAGACGTAATCTTTGTTCATTTAGGCTATGCAAACTACAAACGTGTTTACAACATTTCAGCTCAATCGGTTGAAGTTAACTGCATCAAAATTAAAAAACAAGATTCGACTTTACAAACACATAAATGAATGCAAATTAAAGCTTATTATCAAATCATTATTATATTATTTAATTATTTAAAATCAAACCAATATTATAAATGCGAAAGTAACTCTGTCTGTCTGTCTTTTCTTTACGCTTAAACTACTAAACCTATTATAACCTGTGTGAAATTTGGTACAGACATAGTTTGGATTTGGAACTCAAGAGATGACATAGGATAGTTTTTTCACCAAAAATCTACAGGAATTCACTATTCCACGCGAACAAAGTCGCGGGCAAAAGCTAGTGCATAATAATAACATCAAATTCAGTTCAAGCTTTTTCTGTTAGTTTCTTGTTACTCTCGAACGCAACTAATTCACTATCGTCGTTGACAATAAAGAACCGCATGAAGTCACGCTGTCAAAGGAATCAACTAGTCAAGCTCACTGTTACATAATACATGCAGTCCTTTACCACGCACAACAGCAACGTACGTTAAAATGCGAAATGTACGTAGTTGAATATTTATCACTTGCCCACAGAACTGGCATTCAATTACAGGCACATTGCCACTGGCTTATCTCCTTGTAACTCATTGTTTGTGGCAATCGCGGTTTTTATTATTGTTTCTGAATTACTGACATGTTTTCTGATGAATGGCTAATGGGTTGTTGGTTAATATTTAATTGAAAGATAAGTATTTTATTATTGCGAAAACTGTTGTAATGTAGTTTACTGTGCTTGTTCTTATTTATATGTAACTATCACTTACACGCGGCTTCGCTCCCGTCATTTGTTTACCTTCACTCCTGAACCTAGTTTCCTTCTGAGTTTTGAGGATTAGGGCATTTGGAAAATAAGGAAGGGGGGAGATGGTTGTTTTGTGGACCAGGTTACCAAAGACATACCTTTGGTTTTACGGCAGTATTCTGTGAGGTCTTGGTACCACTCCAGTCGGGAAAACAAAACACGACCAGGCTTAGGATGTAATAGGATAAAAAGTATTATTAGATGAGAAGGGGTTGGTAACAATATAGAATGAGCCTAGATGTCTTCAAGGTTAGAGTGAATAGGCTCTTAATAAACTAGTGCGCCTTACCATCAACGATTGCATCACTGCTTAACATCAGGTGGGATCGCAGTCAAGCACTAGTTTATTGCAAGTAAAAAAAAAGCCTTTGTCAAATTATCCTGACAGTTTGGGAATGACAGGCATGCCAATTAAAAATATAAAAGGTTGCGTTGAGAGTATCAAATTATTATTTTTATTTAATACAAACTTTTCAACTATCTCTCTTTCCTAACTTTTAAACTTTCACGTTTCATCTTAACAACATTATATTTACGCGAAATTGAATACCTTGGTAGGCTTGACGTTTCATTGCTGAGAGGCACAAAGAACATATCGCCGCAGTCAAAAACCGACAGAGCAACAAATCAGCGATAGCAGAACACCTGCTCCAGGCTGGTTCTAATCACTGGGTAGAATTCCACCGACCGCAAATTCTCTCCACTGATCGCCACTACCATACAAGACTTGTGCGTGAAGCGGTTGAAATAAAGAAATGCCCAAATAATTTCAATCGGGAGGACGGCTTTAAATTGTCGTCGACGTGGAATCCAGTGCTTCGCAAAACACAACCTCGCTTTTCTTCAAAGTCGGTTAACACATCTGTGGATATAATCAGCGTAGTGTGTAGACGGCCTAATATGGTAGAAAATGAAAATAAGGGGGTAGATGAAGATTCATCACCCGAATGCAGGGAGCTGTGACATCGCGTCTTCAGTCTGCTTGTGACCACGACCTGTGCAACCGGGTCGAAACGTCAAGCCTACCAAGGTATTCAAATTATAATTTTCCGCGTTAATACCCGCGTAAATATAATATCTCTCTTTCGTTCATAAGTACCTTCTCCTGACAATAAGAAACACTACAAAAACAAGAATTTGTAAAATTAGTCCAGGCGTTGTTGAGTTACGCACTTACTAACACATTTGGCGATTCACATTACTCATAATTTAAATCAAGCTAAAAAATACTTACTATCACACATGACCTTTGAATTTCATCTAGGAACAACAACCAACCTAAAAACGGCAATTAGATTTCTTTGCCAAAAGAACATTACTTAACCCTTTATTTTATTTTGTACCATTGCAGAAGTAATATAAATTTAAAAATGAATAATAAATTAATTGTAATTCGTTAGTTTCGTCCTTCTACGCTATTGGGAACTCGACACCACTACACGGCTCACGTCGCCATCTTTTCGTCCTGTCACGTCCCAGAGATGTGCCGTGAGGAACATTCAATGCTTAATTAGATTCAACTGACAATCATTCATTATTTTCCTCTCTCAGAGACATTAGAGTTACTGAATAATTTTCCTAATTACCTGGTAACTTGAAATACGCTGTTGCTTAACTTGTTTTTCATTAGAAGACCTGGAATTGTGGGCGGCATTTAACATAACATTCGCTCATTATAACTTCAGATTCATAAGTAATAAATATATTACGTATGAAACACTTTTACAATACCATAGTCTGCGGCATATAACAATGCTTTTTTGTGATTGAGGTTACTGGAAGTTCAATCATCCTGCCTGCCTGGCACAGGATTAGGAACGGGGTTTTCCCAAGAAAACCCATTCTTAAATCCCCCTATCCCCAATATATCTCATCTCTAAAATAAAGTAAAGCAACTATAGTTTTGCTAGTAAACACTACAAACTATAGGTAAAACCATAAACCATGTGTGACGCTGATTACTTTTATTATGTATGCCCTGTGTATTTTGTTACGCTCGAGAATTGAACTACACCATCGTGCATCATGTCACATGTTATAAGGACAAAATCTAAGTCTTATAATATTGTCTTAAGGTTGCATTTCGAAAAAACCTTTCTTTCCTTTTTTAATTGGTGTTCTACATACTATGTACTTAGCATATAAATACCCCTGCATAGGGTTGCTAGAACACCCTTACTGGCTAATAATATACAGTAGCCGGCATGTGAACCTATGCATGTGCAGGAAAGCTGTTGTGTACTTTCGACCTTACTTCAAAACGACAAAGCTGAAACTCCAATAAGGAATTTGTCAGAAAGGAGTAAGTTGGCCTGCTGGCGTCTTTATGTATATACGCATTTATATACATACAAGCGAGACAAGCTCTAGCTGCCCTCGTTACTATCCTTGTTAGAAGGTAAGTGGCCAATGCTAATCTACACCAAGACATGAAGTGCAGTTTTTATGGAAAATTGGACTTAAGAGCCCTGTATTTTTGGTTTAACTTTGTTAAGATTTTTAGAGCTGATGATCTGTTGGTGATAACGGTTACCATTAAATCAATTTTAAAAATGGTTGGTGTTTCAAACTGTGCCTTCTATATCTGGAAAAAAAAGACCTATTCATTCAATTGTCTATGCTTTGCTCAGTCTGCTTGTGACCAGGACCTGTGCAACAAAGTCGAAACGTTAAGCCTACCAAGATATTTAAATAATTATTATCCGACCTCGACATTCGAGACCTCTTCAGGTATGGACAATAGATGTAGAAACCAAGACGTTAGAAACATGCGTGAAAGAGCAATATCCATTTACTATGAAAATCATAACTCCAGTAAGTACAACCAAACTGTAATACCAAATATAGGTATCATCAAAATCGATGGCTAAACGGGGCTTCTGAATACCTTTACTGCTATATTGGTTATAACAAAGTTTTGAAACAACACCTGAACTCTGTTACGGCACAGTCAACATTCAAACAACGAAACTATTACAATCGTCTACGAACAATATTTAAAACCCGATCAATAACTGAACCAGGAGTACCACTGAGCTGATTCACACGCAGACTTCCCAAAAATTTCAAACGAGCAACTGACGGACAAATCGTTTTAGCGCAGTTTTTGTTAGACTACCGTTATGGGCATCAGAGCAAACGCAACTGCGGTTGTTTACATCCAACCAAATTAATTTCTCGGTCCGGTCGGCCGGCATAAATTGTGGCTAGCACAGCTTTTGTGAGAAGGAACTCAGTTTTAATTAGAGCAAATTTGGGAATATTAATCTCAGACGATTCTGTCTGGATAGTGTGTTTGATTAATTGTTGAGGTTATCGTGTCGTCTAGGTACAAGATTCTTGGTCATATTTTAACGAGATAAATAGCTGCTCGTTTAGATTTATAGATCTGTGTATCTTGGACGGTCGGGGTGCCTATAAAGAATCTGTTTAATGGACAAATGGAATTGAATTTGATGTTTATTTATAGTTTTAGATTAGGGTCTGAATACCGTTTTGATAATATTTTCATTAAATGAGAAATCTGGTTTAGATTAAGTCCCAATCTAATTTATTACTCATATAAGTTATGGTGACAAAGGAAAGTCTGTCAATAATTGTAAATAATTTCGTCGTGAGTAAATCACATACTGACTAATTGATTTTTTTAGGGACTCTACTAGAGTACTAGAGCCTTGGTCTGGAGCAGGAGAAGCACCGGGGCAGTTCTTAGTCAGCAAGAGTCTAACACTCGCTCTCACCTCATACCCTGGA